CACATTATTTAACTGTGATAGTTCACATTCTGCTGTAAAAAGTAATACCTCTATTTCCAGCAAACAGTTTATAATGGGGGAAGGAGATGAAGTTTTTTTGGCCTAGTGTGTCTCCTCTAAAAGCAAAAAGAATGGAAAGTTAAGGGCTACTATTTTAGAGCACTTTATTTCTAGGTGCTAGAAAGTCTCACAATGTTGTAAACCTCTAGTTAAAGTTTTTGGATGGTACTCACTTGCTGTAAGTTGTTTTGTGTTCCTCAGAATTTAAAGAGACCACTGGTTGTGTATCCATTGGGCAGCACTCCTCTGCTCCTCCTATCCTTCAACAAGCACAAATTTTTTTGTGCTATTTTTATCCTTATTTAATCTGGCAGTCAGACAAGCCCAACTACAAATTCACAAGAAATATCACATTATAAATTAAGAATAACTGTCATGATTCTTGAATTTTGGAAATTTAAAAAGAAGGAAGTTGATGGCATGACTAACAGAAATACTTCAGATTTATCCGAACTGTAGACTCAGAGGTGTCCAGATGGCTTAAAGCTACATCTATCCTTTTCACAGTTAAACTTATATAATTATGGACGTATTTATTTACACTTAGACCTAAGGCAGAAGTCTAAGTAATGTATATGCAATAAGTCATGTGTATTGTGAAGCATTTCAGTAAATACTACTTTAAAACTTTATATGCATGGGTATCCAACCTTTTGGCCACATAAAATATATAACAGTGTATGTAAGTAACAAAAATTCTTTTACTTTTTCATATTTTTTTTTATTGAAATATAAAAATAAAAACATAAAACTAGCAAGTTGGACATGTATGCTTTACAGCATTTTATATAGAGAGATGCTTCAATTCCTCTGTTCCTAATTGATGTATATCTAGAAAATCTATTTCTAATTGCACAGTTTGTAAAACAGAAAAGATACTGAAAATATACTTTATGCATTAACTTTTCCTGCCCATTAATCTAAAACTTAGTAAAAGAGAGACTACTAAAATGAGAGAAACAACTTCAAAATATTGTGCATGAAATTAACGCTTACCTTTCAGAGACTGAGAAATGTTCTTCTATCTAGATTCAACCTATTGTAGATTCACATACTACTAATAAAATTGATACATATTAACAGACTTCTATTAAGAAAACAATTTCATGCTCTTTTTGGACACACTGTTAGTTACAACTCCTTAGCTAATCATTATGTGAATATTCCACTCTTCTCAGAACAAATCCCACATCTTTCTTCACTCAAGCTCTCTCAAAATTTTTCAAGTCTTAAGAACCAGCTTGGAAGCAAGTTAAAAGAGAAAAAAAAAAACTAAAAACCTCCACTTTTTTTAGAAATTGAATCAAGTTCCAAGAGACTTAATCTTTAGAATATTGTTAAGGTTTTGCAGGGGTCTAGATTTTGAATGTAATAATGTGTGTAGATCAGGAATAAAGAGTCATATCAAAATGCTACAGGGAGTCAAGTTTGCAATTTTTTATTTCAACTAAAGTTAAAGGATAAAGTGTTTCTTTACTTTCCTTAAGTTATGTGCAATAGACTTATTGATAAACCTCATTACAAGGGTGGAAGAACTCCTGTTTGATGTTACCTCACACTGCAGCTAGAGGATCCTGTTTGGTTCCTGCTAGATGCCTCATAGTGAGCTGTGTCCCAAGGCATTTCCTTTAAATTGTCCACGGCACCAGCAGCCTAACAGGAAGCAAAGTTATCCACGTATGGTATCCTATAGCGAGAATAAATAGGTTGAACATGGAAATCTGACTAGTCAACGTAACCATTTACTTACATAGTTTATTTTTTATTGTTTCACCATTTTCTTTTTTTTTTTGGAAAGCAGATATGGACACTGCTGATTTGATCTGCCTAAGCTAAGGATGTGCATATTCTTTTACAGTGCAAAAATCACTGATTACGGCTTTCTCAGAGCCATAGCAGGAGCCATTATTTGCCCCAACACATATTTCCACATAGCAGTAGGCACAAGGGCACTGTGGAAACAACATTCAGTATGTTACTAAAACTTAATTAGGGAGAAAAATGCTTTGACTACTTCAGTACTCCATATCATCATTCAGCACAGAGAACTCATCTGCTAAAACATTCAGCAGAACCTTGGCTGACGAAAGCAGTAGGCTATTTCTTCCTCTGCAAGAACAAGATAGCTGCAATTTCTGCTTCACACTTGCTGCCCTACTTAATTGCACTTGGAGCATTAGTTTTACAGGCAAGTATCTAACATGCAACTCAGGAAGCACCTACTCTTTAGTTACTGCCTCAGAAAAACTGCCTGACTTTGCAGGTTGTCAATCACTTAAAGAGATATTCACACTGCTAGCTTTGATCTCCCTATTCTTTAGAAAGAAAATTTGAAAGTGTTGATACAAATGGATTAAATCACATTTGGCTGAATCAAAGAAACTCTAAGCTTTACTACTTACTAGGAAAAGACCAGGGAAGTAACATTCTTACCTAAATTAGGTTTAGACTGATCTATGAGTTGAGCAGCTTCAACAAGAGTCAGACTCAACTCCCTAATTAAGGAGATTTCAGATCCCAGATTTCACAAGGGCAAACAAGCTCAAAAGGCTCTGCTGGAAATCACATCTTCCTCTAATCTGAGTGAAATTTACCATTTTTGTCATGACTGAACCAAACCAGGAACTAAATTCCTTCTTTTCATTGCAGAAATCTACAGAAATTAAATACGAAGCAGGATAAAAAACTTCACTTGATGAGTTTTGCCATCTTGCCTACTACTCCGATCACTCCGGTCACTCTTCCTTCTTTATTGAACTCGTGATTCTTTGATGTAAGGTTTGGACCTACAGTTTATTTTTGCCCACCTCATTCTATAATTTTACATAAACTAAGGTAGGGCCTCAAACAGTCTACGCTGTGATTGGTAGAAGCTCTTTTGCTGACTTACATAGCGGATTAGTCCCTCAAAAATATGAAAATCGTCTCCTCAAGTTTCGCATTTGAGATATTCAGTTGATTTTCTAAATTTGAAGTTAATACCAGTTTAGCACTCAGCGTGAAGGGTATTTTTTCACAGAGAAATTTACAGCTGAAATAATATGAACCCTCTCTATTTAAAATTTCACAAGAGAAGTTATTGTTTAAAATCCTTAGATGTCTTTGATTCAGAATTTAAGGGTATCAGAAGAAGAGGTATTTCTGCATGATCTGTGAATTCAAGGACTCTTACATCATTAACATATAAATGGCCTTTTCTGTCCACAAGTTTAGGACTTTTTCTTTTTAATTAAAAAAAAATAACAAAAAACTTCAAAAAGTGGTCTTGAAACTTACATATTTCAGGAACGCAGCAAGTCAAGGAAAGGGAAAATGTCCTCTGAGACAGAACCTGGTACACTGCAACTCAATTAGATTTTGACCTTCTTCAACTATAAAGGATTGGAAGACAAACATTGTTTGCTACTTGCCAGAATTAAATTGGGTCTCCTGAGATGCACATGAAGCAATTTAAAAAAAGAAAAGCACTGTTAACTGGATTTACTCAACCATCAGTCTGGAGTAAACATTATTTACCATATTCATCTATTACAGCAATATAATCTTTCATGTTTTAATCAGAAAAAAATGACATTTAATTAGTGTTACACTGCCAAACACTGAAAAAGTTCCTCTATCTACACATTCAGGTAGGCCATCATTTCTTAGTTTCACCACAGCAGGTCCTGTATTCTTTTATGCTTCCTTTGACCTAAGCAGGACTGTTTTATTAATTCAACTCCCTTTACCACTTCCTTGGCAGGGATATGCTCCCGTGTGATAATTTCATATCTTTTGGCTAGGCTTCCTTATGCCCAGGGAACTGACACTATCTCTTGTCCTGAATCCATCCATTTAATTTCCTCACATATGTTTATTTTTTAAGGACTTGTGATGGTTGAAAGATAGAGATTAGAGAAGAAAAGAAGGAAGGGGAAAGAAGAGGAAGGGGGAAGAAGGATGAAAGTGAAGAAGAAAGAAGGAAGGAAGAAAACAGGGAGAGAATAAAAGAAGAAAAGAAAGAAAAGAAACCGTGTCACTAATTTACAGATCTAACCATATGAACAGGGGGGAAAAAAAAAAAGAAAAAAAAAAGCTCTGTAACACAAATTCTTGTCTTACTGTCCCTTCTGTTTTTCCATCCCAGCAAGAGTTTCAGAAACTTTCACCTGTTAAGTAAATTCAAATTATGACTAAAAGATGCCTGGTTGTGCTTTGTACACTGTTTCTGCCACCCCAAGATCCTGAAATTAAGCAGTACATTTTTATGACAACATACCCATTTCTGCCCAGTATCTGTCTCTTTCACCCTCCAATACTTTCACACTCTGCTTTGTAATACTAACCATTATTGTTTTGATGGAATCTTCACACTCCCAGCCTCATGCAGAAATTAAAGATAACGGATTTCATCTTGAACATGACCATCCTACTCTACTGGTGCTAAGGTTCTTTTGTGCTTTGGATCTTGAGGAACATGGCAGAGTTCTGACACTATACCATAGATTCTACATTCCAAGCCCTTTCAATTAATATTTCCCAAATACCCTGCCCACCCCAGAGCTATATTGCAGGAATACAGTTCCAAGTCACAGGTTCTACAGTTTAAACTATTTGGCAGTATAGTCCAACAAACATCATATTAGCTCCTTCTACAGGATCACCAAAGGAATTGTCTTGGAAAAGCTAGTAATTTTCCCCAATATTTTTTTTAATTGTTTTTTGTTTTTTTTTTTTTTCTCCCGGTGCAATACACAAGTATTTAGTCATTAAATCTTTACTTTGTTTGCACATGTATGGGCTGAATGCCCTGGCATGACCTTATATGAAGTACATAAGACCATAATACACATTTATTGAAAAGTTTATTGATCAATGTCTGAATGCTTATTTCTTTTTAACATAATCCTAAAACAGATTTTTTTATTATTTTCTTTTTTGGGGAGGGGGGNNNNAGGAATGAAAAAGTCGGGAAAAAGGAAATAGGTTATTAAAGAGATGCTTGAGAATTCTCCAGCAACAACCTGTAGGCATAAGGGAAAACTCATTGTCAAGTATGATTTATGAACATTTATTAAATTTACTTTACATAACTAGGAGGCAGACTAGTACACTAATACCCTATTCAACATAAATCCTCATGGAATACAGTGCATCCATTATACAATAAAAAGGCTAATTTAACTTGTCACAACACAGATCTGAATTAATGCAGAAGTCAAAAGGCTCCCAATTTGTGCTATTAAATACAGATGTCGGGTGATAGCTTAGCTATTTCTACTATTCAATGAGTTTTTCTTGACTTGTCACATAAAAATTAGTTACTAAATGTGCATGCAAGAGAAAATTACTGCAGTTAAATGAATATAGATCTACCACCAAAAGAAAATGCACTATGCACAGTGACATTTCGGACCAGTCTTTTTTTGTTATGCAAAGCTGCATTAATTTGGACCTTTTTATTATAAAATTGCAGTTAGTTTCAAAACATTACTTTCTGGCAGAGTTTTTGTTGGCAGGTCACTACTCTCTTGTATTACTGAGAACTGATAACATTCCTTTTGGCCTACATATGCCAATTCATCTCTGCTCCTACTACATGCTTCTCACTCACTCACAAACTGTTAACAGCTGAAAATTTTCATTGCATATAAAATGTGTATTTATATACGCACAAACGCACACATGCACATGTGCTGTTGAAACTGTATGCTGTTCTGATCCTAAACTGGCAGGTGGTCTTGACGAACAGTGGGAGATTCTTGTGAAGAATGCGAGATTCCTTGCTGCTGTGTAGCAAAATTAACGAATACCTGCAAGACAAGAAAGGAGTAGGATTTTCAAAATAACAATATTTGAGCAGAAAATTCAGAGACATGGCTAGTGATTTTTGTCAGCTGCTTTTCTGACACAAAAATTAATAGTTTATGCTGCGAGACCCCCTCTAGAGATGTTTTGTAAACTCTATAAAGAAATCCTCTTCACCTCTCCAGCTAACACACAGGTTGATAAATTGTAAAAAACAATGGTAAAATGAGTTACTGGGAAATAACTGTTTTTCTTTGCACTTGAAATAACATGAGATAAAACAGCTCTGTGAGCAAGGTGTCCTTGTAGACAAGTTGTGAAGAGGCTTACAACTTCCTCTCCACTTCGTGTGTGTACTTACTTGGTAAACTCTCACCAAATAAGATTCAGTTATAAAGTTTGATTGACAACTTGAACTTACGGATGTTGGAGTTACTACACAGGCTGAATAGCCTAATTAACTTCTACACCCTGTGAACTCCTCCTATTAACTCCGGCATAAATTTGGAGTTACTTACACACATTATGCATGATATGAAGGGGGGTCACATACAAGGAGGAACATGTATCAGTTGGACTGGGAAGTCTGTAATTTCCAAGCACTTCAGCCAATGAGGGAAAGCAGGAGGGTCAATGTGGCTAGGAAATAGGGATAAGAAGAGTCTGTTTCCTCAGATACTTTGAGAGACCCTGAGGGGACTGTTCCCATTGACTCTCTCTTTATTTGAATAAAGAAAGCTAAACAATCTCCTCTGTCTCTTTCTGGGATAAAGATAACTGAGTAAGCCTATTTGAGCAACATTTTTCCCAGCAAGCATGACAGAAGAACTTGACCCTGTTGTTTCTATCAAACACTATCACATAAATGAAAGTCCGGAGACTTCAAGACAAAGGCATACTTCTGAGCACTGCAAATTGACTACTCAACAACTCACATGCCTCCTTTATATATATATTTTTTTTCTAAACAGAACTTACTACAGAAAGGCTTGTTTGCTTTTTAATCACACAACTATTTGACAGCAAGGATGGAGCAGAAGAGATGGCTCTTCTTGATTCAAATGATCATATTCATGTGCAAACAAACTTGGAGTGAATAATAAGGATGTTTATTATTCAAGAGAATTATTTAAACTGCTTAAAAGTGACACTCATTTTGTCTTCAGGAAGAAGAAATAGTAGGTGACTGAGGTGATGAATCACCATGAATAATGCAGAGAAGTAAAGCTTGCATGAACTATTCCTGATCATCAGGCTCAAATCACCTTATATTCATCCACTCTGTGAACAGATAATTCAAAAGCCGTTAAAAAGATTAGTACAAATCAGAATATTTCATTAATGATTTGCACAAGGGTAAAAGGAATAACTTCACACCATTTATCATACAAAATTAATATTTTGACCAAGTGCAACTCCTTCAGTTTGCAGAATACATAACAAGAAGTTACATACAAGGATGCTCAAACACATCACAGCAACTCAGAAATGTCATCCTTGCTATTGTTCTCTTCTTCCTTCTGCCCAAATAGGATTTCACAATCACTAATAGCAGGATGTCTTCAGCCTGCTTGTGCTTTTCTACCATGTTCTATTGTGTACTGTAGTACTGCAAAAGAAAACCCTCAAAGGAGGGTTTACACAGTATGATTTACTGTGATTATCAGACTTGTTCAGTCTTTTGAAGGGCATTAATAGGATCTCAACTATCCGTGGCGGTGGCAGTTCACAGTCCCACCCTCTCATCCTGCACAAATCAGATGTATTTAAACAGTGATTAAGTTTGCATACATAGCAAATATCATAGAATCACAGAATCACCAAGGTTGGAAAAGATCTACAAAATCATCCAGTCCAACCGTATATGCACCTTCTCGTGTTGTTTTGTGCTTATCCACAGTATAAGAGCAATAAGGTTAATGTGATTACTGTATAGACCTGAGATGGTCTAGAACTGCTGAAAAAGAAGAAAATACCTGCTCCAGTGTAGTTTGGCTAATGGAATAATGTTTGATTTGGAGAAAAGCTTTGTAGTTCTCTAGGACTCTGAAGAGCTCAGATAGGCATCCCTCACTTCGTGGTACATGGTACTCAAGCAGGTTAAGATGTTGTCCCTTAAAAGAAACAAAACCAAAAATAGATAAAGGTGAGTATACACGATGATGAAGTTGTGCTTGCTGTAACCAGACTGGTCTCAATAGGCTCGCAAAGCTAAAGGAAACATGAAAAACATGAGCTTTTAAACAAGAATATATTTTGTCTCCTTCGGTAGCAAAATGAAATGTTCATACTCAAGACACACATTTTGTGTTTTGAGATTGCATTTTGTTAACTTAATAAAAGATACATAAATTTAGGACACTTTTATGCTATATGCTTTAAATATATGCTGATAGTACTAATGTAGTCATCTGAGAAGACATAAGGCAGTAAATAAAAATTAAATCTATCTGGTTACCTGCAAGCCTATTCTTACACATGTTTTGACTACACACAATTTTGATAATACAAAAGGAAAAAAATACTGGACCATCTCATCATTATAGCAAAAAGTAGCTGGCATTTAAAAAAGGGAAGGTTTCTGTAAATCTCTGGACTTTATTTGAGCTTTTGTATATCACATATTGCCTTTGATTCTTGCACTGATCTAACACAGGAAAAAATGTAAAGAAAGCATATTTTATAATAGTGGGGTAAGATATAAAAGAATTCTTACTAAGAAATTTCTGCAGTAGGATGCTCTTCATCTTTAAAGAAAAAAACAACAACAAAACTTAATTTCAACCTGACAGAAGTCTCTCTCTCTCTTAATACTATGCATTTACTGATAAGCTTCCTGGAAAAAAAAATATATATATATATTTAAAAATTTATATATAGCGTGCATATACATTTATGTATATATGTATATGAATATGCACAAACATGAATAAACATATATGCAAGAAGGTTCATAACTGAATACCTATGAATACCTATTCATAGTTTCACGTATTTTTTTTTTCCTAAACAATGATAATGTATTAAAAAATAAAAATTAAGAATTAAAGTCCTTTGAAATCTAATTACTGTAGGTCTTTTGTAAGGCTCCATATCAAATAAAAGAATCTCTTTAAAGACTGAGATTTGCCATTTGTGAACCTTATCAGAAACCAATCAAAGCAAGTACAAGTTCAACTTGGTCAACAATAAAATCAAAGTGAAATTATTACTCTGAGAAAGGACCTATATATTTATGTTGCTTGAATTACTTTGGAATTCATTTAATCAATATCACAAGTCAGATGTGTAAGAAATGCTTAATAAGAAAATGAAAGAGATGCTCATGCATACTTTCTTCAGAAAAATCAATGTATCTAAACACATATAAACACTGTTCTTATCAGTCAACTCTTAATCTTGCCATATAATAATTACTTTAATGAGGAATTTTAACTGCACCTTAAATTGTGCTCCAGGAAAATGCAGCTTCAGACAGTCCAAAATCATTCTTTGATAGCTTATTTCTTTGCTAAGCCAAACTTTGACAGAATAGCCATCTCCAAACCTGAAAATGATATGCAGAAATATAGACTCATTTGTCTACACTAGGAAGGCAGCAAGAACACTCATTTCAATTAATTTTCCTTTAACAATTATGGCAAATAAAACACTGTGTATCCCTACTGCATTATCATTGGGATATTACCACTTTATTATTTACTGATAGACAATGATTTCAATGAGAGAGCTGTAAAATTAATGATAACAAATAGAAACAAACAATAAACCCAAACTTCGTTATCCCTAGGTTTTAACTACAATACTACATTTCATTACACAATGTACTGTACATTAAATGAAGTATACATTAATTATGACACTACAAAAAAAAACTATGACAATTACCTATCATAAAAAGAACAAAAATCCTTTATTTTAACTTTCCTAATTATGTGACACTTCAAACCTTTTAACAAAGCAGCCCAGTTAGTATTTCAGCAAATGTATGCACAATATGTTTTTGCACATACATAAACTAAACATTTATTTAGGTTGATGGCAAAGTTAATGAATATTATTAAGCTCTATGGCCACACAATCTGTCTCATAGAATAATTTTGGAAATGAATTTCTCTCTCAATATACATGTGATGAAAGTTAAGTACAGCCAATCTAGCCAACACAGTTTTTATTAGATTTACTTGCTGCTAATATATGTAACTGGGGAAGTTCCAATAAACCTATCAACACTGAAATGGCAACAAGAGCCTCACATATGTTATGTAAGTTGCAGAAGTTATGCAGCAGAGGTTCAAGGGATTTTATTCCCCTGGTTCCAAACTGCATCTGTTCCCATGAGTAATGGAAAGGCAGAGCTGGGAGGAAGACAAGGAGCTCTGGCTGCATGTCCACATCCTCCCAGGAACCTTTCAGTTCCCCTGTATTCCCACTCCAGCGCTCTCACATCCTTCATGCCAATGTTATTTCCTTTTGTTTACTCTCCACCTGCACAATTACTCAACCTTTGCTGTAGTTCTTCTGTTTCTAGTAACTTTTCCCTGTTATCCATGACAGCACTCCTTGCTGGCTAAACCTGCTTATTCGTGGTAGTGGCTGAGTTAAATGGGTCTGGCAGGATTGAAGCACGTTTTCAGGTGATCAGATCTTTATCATGCTGCTCTTCTCAAATACAGAAATTAATGTCTACAGAATCTCAGTCAAAATGTAACAAAAATAGTACGGGCTATTTGGAGATCTATGTCCTGTTCAGCCACTAAGTAACTTCCAGATAAACACTTCAGATGAAGATCATTACATCCCTCATCAGCAATGCACATACAGCAGTGTAAGAGATTTTACTTCTATTTTGTGCAATACCAGAATCTCCATTACTATAAAGCTTTCGGTTGTTTTGTCTTTTACTTTCTTTTTCTTTTTCTTTCTTCCTTTTTTTTCTTTTTGGTTTTTGGTTGGTTGGGTCTTTTGATTTGTTTTTAGTCAAACACAACCATGGTCCCACTTGAAATGTAGTAAGAAGATTCAATTCTGATGCAATTCTATTCATTTCTTCTTGAGAGATGATCTGTGAGTTAAATTATTTCCAGGCCAGTCTGTGGGGTACCAGCAGTTTGCTGCCCAGTGTGACCTGGCAGATGAATGGTGCTGTTATACCAAAGAGATGCACAACAAGGTGAAATCCGAAACAGTGGCTGGCTGGTTTGCCCCATAATTATTTACTAAAAAAAAATTCATCTCTAATTAAATCTTTTAAATGCATAGTATCATCCCTGAAAAATACTTGTGATAATAAAAAAGATATTACAAAGAAGGATATAGTTAACAAGAGTGTTCAATTCAGATGACAGCCAACTTGAGGCAACACTTTACAAGAGACCATTGATTCTGATCAATTTTCTGGCATTTTCTAGCCATCCGCTGCTGAATCACAGTTTGAAAAATACTGACTTATAGAGGTGTTCAGTGGTCTTGTAAAATAAAATTGTTTCATGCAATGAAGTTTCCAAACAAAATAAATCAAAATTCTGATTAGCATAGACTAATAAGCCTGTACGACTGTTTCAATTCTAGATTGTGAATGGCACAAACACCAGCACAGTCCAAACATAAAACTTTAGAAGATTAGTCTTCTTCTGGCCAATCAAATTATGGTTCTTCTGTATCTTGATTATATAATTCTTTTCAGCTCAGCATCTCCCTACACAGAGTAAGTTGATCAGAAATAAACATTTCTCCTTGCTGTAATCAGCAAGATGCTTCCAGTAGTAAACTGAGGCAATGGAAATTGAGTTGACCATTTTTTTCCACTCTGTTTTCCTCTCTGAATTAGACAATATAATTAATTCAGAAACCAAAACTGGAATTATGGAGTAGAGCACAATCTGGTTTGAACAGCTCTGTTAGGATTGAACCTTTAACACCTAACAGTTCAAAACCTACGTAAGGAAACATTACCATGAAAATGGCATAAGTTGAGCCAGCACACCTGTTCAGCAGCCATCTGTTGCAAAAGAATCACAATTTCTTCAAAGCTATTTAATGAAGATATTTTCCATTGCTTATTTCTATCATAGTACTTTAACATCACTTGCATTTTTATTTGTCTATATGCACACAGAAACACAAACACATATTCTAACTAAATTTTTTTTCCTCTTTATCATACCTCTTTTCTCTTTCAGTCAAACTAATTTTTTATACTTGTCTTTTGGATCTAGTGATGTTGAGTGTTTTAACTACTACAATGCCACCACGAGACCAAAACAAACATCTAAATTGCCCAGCTGATTTTAAACTGGTATATCAACAGCAACATCCAGTGAAGCATGAACTTAGTAAAAACTACAAAAAACGCATCCAACTGCTCTCAGCTGTAATTGTACAGGCCGCAAAGCTCGATGAGCCACTCAAATAACAAGGGGAAAAAGGAGCACACTATGGCAAGAAGGAATAGAACAATTTCTATATTAGGATTTATAAAATGGGCTAAAACTTTTCAGATGACTAGGTGGTAGAAGGGTGTTTTATACAGCCCCAAATCATGACTGGACTAAACAATACAATTAAGGAATGCTTCTCCACTCTCCTATGTCACTGTTTTTCACGCAAAACTAAGGGGTATCAAACTGAATTAGAGGAAGGCAATTCAAGTTCAGTAAGAGGAAGTAATTTTCTGTACAGCACACAGGAAAATTGTGGGACTCATTGACACAGGATGTGCTGGATGCCAGAATTTGACATGAGTTGAATAAGAGATTAGGGAAATTCATAGGGGAAAAATCCACTAAATCCATTTTTGGCTTAGGAATTCTCTAAGCAGCAAATTACTGAAGGCCGGTTGAGTTATGTGGAAGAGTTGTCCTTGGACTTTTCTCTCCTGGACATATTAGTGACTGGGAATACTGTGTTAGATGAGACTAAAGTCTGACCTTGTAGCTGATAGTAAGAAATAAAGCAGAGGTCTGCCTGGGCTAATTGCCCAAATGGTTTCCCTGTTCTGAAAAGGGGTTTGCACTTTTGATGTAGTTCCACAGCCATGCTGCCATTACTAGAAAGGATAGCTAACATAATGCTAGTTCAGTTGTCTCCACACAAGATGCAGTCACAGAACTGCAATGATGAGCAAGACCCCTGACTGCTTTTTTAGGGCTTCTTCAAGTCATGCCATGGGAATGGAAGTGGATTCAGTTGCCTAAAGGTTAAAAATTCTTACAAATAACAAATAGAGGAGATACCTCTGGAAGCAAATCAAGAAATGCTAACTTCACAGTATCCGTTTCTGGGACAAGAGAAGTTGCTAGAACACAGTGTTTTGTGGCTGTTCAGATGAGCCTACTGTTGAGTGGTAACACGGCATTCTTAGAGGTACTAACCCAGTGTTTTCCAAAACTAGCCCATGACATCCTGTTTTCCGTGAAAGGTAACAAAGTTCATTATCAGCAGAATTCTATTTGCTGTACAAAAGTATGTGTTTTCCTTGAAAACTGTTAGGAGCTGCTTGACCACAAACAAACCTTACCTAATCTAGAAACCGCTGTTTTAATTTACAGCAGAGTCAAGAATGATTAGTTCCCTGAACATGCTCGTTCCAAATCCCTACCCCAAAAATGCTGAAAGAAACTTCAGCAAAACATGAGCTTGGCCTTATTTCCTGATTCTCAGTGAATAAGCAAAGCATCATAGATATTAGCACAAATATGTATGTATGTGTTTATATATATAAGTGTATGTTTATAAGAATATACATCAAAAAATTACGGCTCCCAGAAAGTTTACCAGTGGAAATATACTGTGCATACTTTATGCATGCACTAGTCTGATTGATCAAAAGATTACTCCAAAATGGCATTACTGAATAACAAAAAAATAATAAAAAGAACATTGCCACTTAACATCTGAAAGGAACTGCATCTTCCAGAATATATGCCATAAATCAAAGTGGGGGAATAATTTGTTACTGAGCTGTGCACCACAAGGCTTCAGTTTGCATTCATTTGCAGACAGAGAAGGTTCTACTTTTTGTAAAGTCTCATTGAAACAAGCTAACTTAGTTATTCCAGTATGATTGTTCAGGCACAGGATACAGATTCAGGTCATTCCCCTTGCAACTCTAGAAAAAAAGTACAGCTTATAAAAAGAATAAAACTTAAAAAGCATCAAAAACCACCTCAACCTCAACAATTTGTGGTAGTTTTCAATCACAAAATAAATGTAATGATTTTATCTGTTAAGTGGAAGATAAATACAATATCTAGGAAGGAAAAAAAGGTTTCTAAATGTAAGGTAAGTAAAACAATTGTTTTAATTTTTAAAGTTAATATAAAATGCAAAAATAATCTCACTTGTAAAATGCAAATTCTTTCTGCAATTATTCAGAACAACCTCAGTGCTGCTGAACAAACAAAAAACTTAATTAGATACAATAACAGCTAACTTATAAAATCTATCTTCCATGTGCTATTCATAGATTGTTTCATGTTTTTAATTGATCATGATTTTTCCAAGGTAACAATAGAAACATTAAAAAAGCTATTAAAACAACAAGTA